TGTGAAGAAAGCAATTTTATGCATTACACTCTTAAAAGAGCTTTCAAAAAGGAAAAACATAACCATTTATTATGCTCATTATGGCTTGTGGCTTGTGACCTAGATGAAGATGGCATCATTTTACAGGGGGGAAGAGGTCAGGGGCAGCCAAGGGCTCCAGGGTGTGAATGCAGGGCTCTTCCCAGCACATCCGGGAAAGCTCGTGGGTCTTCCTCAGAGCGCTCCGTCATGCCAAGGAGTAACCAGCTCTTAATCATCTTTGAGCTAGCCTGAGCTATTCCACCTCAAAAGCCAAATAATTGCAGTCTTTTCCCAATTCAGAGAAAAAAAAAAACAAGTTAATGAATGGAAGTCTCAACTGCAACTTCTTTCATATTTTCCTTAAACCTCATGGCCTCTGTGTCCATTTGTCTGCAACTGACTGCTGGTAGACCACAGAGTGAATAAACAAATAGTGGAAAAGATTAATGGAAACCCTGGAAACAGATGACCAGGGTAGTCTGACAGCTTTGTGTGGACACATCTGCTTGTGCTTGTGATTTTCTATCATGCAGTATAAATAATACACGCTCTGCTGGTGAAGCTGTTCCTGCCTCGTGATGAAATGATGAGCCACATCAGGCTTCCAGTCCTGGGAACAGTGCCATGTCCCAGGTGCCCCTCCATCTGGGAACTTCTGAGCAGCTGCTCTGGCTGCAAAGGGTGAAGTGGGGCAGAGCCAGGTGCTCGGAGAGCCTACCAGGGACGTTTGGCGCCTTTTCTCCAAGTGCCAACCCACTGTGGGCAACAGAATTTATCTCAGAGAGGGGGTTGTGCAGCAAGCAGGCTGGTTCCTTTCTGGGGATGACAGAAATGAAGCTAAGCAGAAAACGCATTCTCGTAAAAGGAATTCCCCTGAATAGTTTCTTATTGAGCCTCAGGTCCAAGACAAATCCAAGACTGGAAAATTTTCAAACACAGGTTCTCTTGGCTCCCTTTCCCTGGGTGTTCACACTTCTGTTGACTGACACAGCTCCCATGTCTAGAGCGAATACATCAGACACACCCAGGGAAGCTAGAGTCCCAGCTCCGAACAAAACCCCTCAAGCAGTAGCCTCCTCGCTGCTCTGCCACCTGCTCCACGGCTCTTTGGCAGTGGGTGCTCACTCTAAGCTCTGGAGCACAATGAGATCCGAAATGGGGGACCTGGATCAGGGTTTCGGGTGTAAGGAAGAAGGCAGGTGAAAATTGACTTTAAAAAGCAATTGAGGGGCCGGCTGAGTGATGCGTTGGTTAAGAGCTGGCTTGGGACGCTAGAGGACCCTGGTTCGGATCCCACACATGAGGGCCAGTGACACTGCCCTCCACAGCTAAGATGCTGAACAACAGCTCAACCTGGAGCTGGGCTGCCGTGAGTCGCCGGCACAGCCCCTGCTGCAGTGGGTTGCCATGGGCTACCGTATGTAGCCAGCAGCCAGTGTGAGCGGCCAGCAGCCGCCGTGAGCGGCCGTCCAGAAGCCGGCGACTGATCTGCCTCGCCCGGGAAGAGCGCAATGATGGTGCCAACTTGGGCCAGTGAAGCAACGTCCTCCACAACTAGACTGAAGAACAAAACGACAGCAACTTGTCTGTTCCCCTTCCCCCAATTCCCTAGCGCTGTTCCCATCCCCCAATTCCCCAATAATAATAAAAAAAAGCAATTGAGGGGGCTGCCAACTCAGAGTTGAGGTAGGAACCTAAAGGAGTCTTCCTCTCTCTGAGGTCACCCAGCCAGGCCTGGCAATTCCTCTGTCACCCTTAGGACTGGGCACCCTTGGTTCTCGGATTACTTACCACTGGAGTTGACCTCTGGGGACTGCTTGCCTCTCCCTGCTTTTCTAGGATTATCAGACTGGATGAGACTCAAAAAAAGACACAGCACACAATTTTTAAATAACTTTATAATTTCCCAATGGATTTAGTTTGTGAATAAAAAAGAAAAAAATGAACAAAGTGTTTACAATAATTATCAAGGCAAAGTTGACTATAACACAATTTCTTTGTAGTGTCATTATCCTGTCAGTAACATGACTGGCCACCACACATACACACGCTCACACACGCACATGCACACCTGCACTCACACACACGTGTGCACACACACACTCACGCGCACACACGCAAACTGGAAGGCAGCGGGTGCATTTGCATCACAGACACCACCATTGCAGCTGCTACTGTCACCAAAAGGAACTCAAGCTACAAGGAGTCAGTACTGCCCCTTAGCTCCTCACTAAAGTGCAGCGCTTCTCTTCTGAGGCAGAGGTGGGCATGAGTCCCAGGGAGACCCTGGCTTCACCCTGGGCATCCTGGTGTGCTGGGAGGCTTCTGGGCTAGTCCTGCATGAGGCAGGCAGGCCAGCACAGCGGTGTGCCACCCTCAGGGGGCCCAGCTACACTGGCGGATGATGCAACACTGGTGTGGTGTGGAAACAGGCGCGGGGCTCAGGGGGCTGGCTCTGGCCTACGCATGCATCCTCTGGCTTCAGCTGATTCACTTCCTTTCCAAACCGTGGCAACTCGGGAGCCAACAGAGACAGCCCGGGCCCGGGAGATCTGGGGTCTAAAAATCTTAAAGGGAAAGAATCTAGGAACTGAAGCCAGAAGGAACTGAGATCTGAGTGTAATTCATTCACCTGGATTGCAGGCTCTGGGCTGGCCAGTTCTCGGCCCATATTGGATGGGTCACTGGATGATATAGCACCAAGAGGGCAGGAAAGAGGTTCTGTGGCCTGTAGAGGGCTGCTGCCAGGTGTGGGGCTTGAGTCAGGCCCAGGTAACCACACTGTATTAGGCACACTGAGCTGGGGCCAACGTGGGGTGAGGGTGGTTATGGGGTCACAAACTGTGCAAGTTCTACCCAGAAGTCCTGAGGATGTAAGGAAAACGCTGGCACAATGGGGACTCTCTGAGCCCCCGATTCCCATTCCTTTTCCTCAGCAGCTATCTCTCAGTCACCTACTGGAGTGTGGCCCTTGTGCTTCACAAGTGGCCAGCCCAGCTGACACCTCAGCCGACTTGGGAGGAGGGGAGGAGTTTGGCTGCCCCATAGCTTGAATTCCTTTAATATGATATTGGTTTGCATTTTTTAAAAACACAGCTCTTTAATTTTTTTAGTTCTACAACTACTTTTTAATATCTTAATAATCTCAACAATGGACACAACGTAACTGCCCCAATTCTCTGAGCCACACAGACAATATTGACGAGCAGAGAAACAGAAGGAGGTGGGATGGGACAAACACCCACTCCCCCCAAATCAATCCCTAAAATCATCTCTCCCCCAAAAGAGTCAAGAGGAGAAATACCTACAATAGGATCACAGCACTCGCTAAACACACTGGAAAAAAATCAGGAGACACTTGGTTACAGTTTCGACACTAAAAAGATTGGAAACAGTATTTGCTTAAAAAGAGTAAGTAAAGACAGCCATTTTGTTCAGAAGGATTTCCCTGTAATGTATGTTTTTTTCTTGCCCAAATATTCCCTTAGTTCACATAGGGGAAACACCAGATTCTCTTAAAACATTTCTTTGAATGGTTCAAGTTACTGTCCTGAGAAACCCAGGACTGGCAGTGATGGGTGGGTGGTCTCGCAGGCTTGGACAGGGCAGCGAGCTGCAGTGCCCCTGTTCTCATCTCCTTTTCCACAGTTCTGAACTGGTGGGAGGTGAGGCCAGGGAGGCAGCATGAAAGGTACTAACAGTGCTGACACAGATAGGGCCTACTGACACTTAGGACGTGCCAAGGGAGGGTCACGTTCCATGTGGCAACGTACTCTTTGATTTGCTCTTCCCTCAAAGTCCCTGAGGGTGGCCAGCAGGCCTATATGTAAGCAGTGGGGTCAGACAGGAGGGCAGGATGGTGCTGCGATTAGCAGGACTCTCTAGCAGCAAATCCAAATGCCAATCCTGACCATCAACAGGGGAGGAATTAGGTTAGCAGTTGACTAAAACATGATGACTTCCTCTTCCTCTTCTCTCACTCCCAGGAGTGGGTGAGCCAATGAACTCCTCATGGAAAACCAAACAGACTTTTACTGAAAAAAAAGTGCCAAGTAACATTGCCATTAGTGACACTGAAGGTGGTCTTGAGTCCAGTCTGCCTTACTAGAATTTTAAAAGCCCAAGTGTAAGGAAGAGAGAAAAGAACTTAAGATCTTTAGATAGTAATGTATGAGGTCAAAGGTTAGAACTGGGATGGCTTTGGGGATTTCTATTCATATTTCTTAACACGTTAAAGCCCACTTAAAGTCTTTTTTATTTCAAATGGTATCCAAGTCCTTGCAAATCTCAATTCAGGTACTTCATCAGGAACTCGATGAGTGCCTGGGACAGAGGTATGTGAAAAGATGAGAGTCACATTGTATTTCTTTAGTCATGAGCCCCAAGCTCCGTTTACTGTTTTTCTTCTTGTTGTCCTCCTCATGATGACTTTGATTTGGGGTACAGGTCTTTAGGTGTTAAGGGGAAACTAAACTTTCCAACGGAATGATGAGTTTGGTGAACATTACAGGCAATCTGCAGTGAGCTGCCAAGGTCACAGACCTTTGGTGGTAGCTGCGTGACCTTGTGAAACCTTGAGAACCATAAGAGGGTCATGGAACAACAAGTCCTTGTGTGATGTGAGCTGTGCATTTAGTAAAAGTTGGCTCAATGAATGATCTAAGTTCAATAAGATACTCTAAATGCTAGAAACGGTATTCACTTTGTCCCTGTAATATAAGGTCATGCTCACCATTAAACTTTAGCCAGAGTCTGTTTAGGACCAAACAGCTCCCAGAAACGGTGGTGAGACTAGGGAGGATCAATGAGATCCTTGCCATGGTTCAGAGAGGCCACACAGACATCTGCCCCCGAAATGTTTCTTCTCAGAAGCACTGGTATGGAGGACTTCCACAAGGTTTCAGAGGGGGAGAAATAGGAAGGGTCGAAATGAAAAGCGGGAGGAAGGAGGCACAGAGAGTGTCACGCACCAAGGGGGCAAGAGTGGCAGGCCCTGTATTTGAGGATAAAGGCTGAGCCAGTGGGATCCAGGGAGACCTGGCCCATCTCTCACTTGTCAGACCAGCTGCTGAACAGCTAGCCAGCCAGGCTTTTCTGCTTTCTCTGTTCTGTGGTAGTCCTGCGAAAGGTGTTGTCATCATACCTCAGTACTGCGCAGTAAGGTAGATAAAGTGAGATTCTAATACTCCAGCCCTAAAATGCTGGGGGCTTTCTACATGATTTATGGACAGTGCAATAAATACGTGGGATTGAGGTAATTGACCACAATGACCACCCATTACTGTGGAGCTCCTGCACCCCCACTCTGGCCAGCCTGGCTATCAGGAAGCGTCTCAGTAAGAAGTTTACAAGCAGAGTCCATTTAAACCTTCGATAAGAAACACTACAGCTTCTCACAGGGAGAGATTGTTTTATAGCAGGGAATCACGGCAGCTGGAGATTTGACCATATAAGTTAATGAGACAGTCGCGGCTGCTGGTGGGAAGATACTGATGGCTGTGATGACTTTACAGGCAGCATCAGCGTCTTTGGGTGAGTAACGGGGGAGAGGGAGGGGGAAGAGAAAACGTAAGACAAAGACATTCAGCCCAGGAACTCTTATCAGGAGATGTGGCTGTCTGGGCGGTGTCTGGCTGCAGAGGTGAAGGCCTATGTTTGGGTTAAGTGGTTTATTTCCTGGTGCCTGATTACTTGTGACTGCCATTGCCTATGGTTGGGAAAAATGCCCTTCAAAATGCCAACACCTTCACCTGGATTTGCAACTTTGGGGTCGATTTTCTGATTTGTGACATGGAGCCGGCCAAGTTCCAAGAGGTTCACACAGATGTGTTAAGAAAACCCCACCACAGCCTCCTGAACAGTATATACTCTTTGAGGGGAGCAACAATAAACGAAAATCCTGGGTCACCGAAGGAGATCCTGCAGGCAGGTCAGTGACTCAGCCCCCTGCCCCCAAAGCCATCAATTCCATTACAGTGAGAAATGAGAAATGCTGATTTGTGAAAGACTTTTCTGGAAAGGAGACCTTCTATTAAGGTGGGGGAGGGGAAGAGCATGCCTTTTACTGCTGACTCACCCAAGTATGTCTCAGCATCCTTTATACCTCTCCCTCACTTTTTTTCGAGGATGAGTGCCTAACACTGACTTGCAAACAGTAGGCATTTCATAAATATTCCTTGAGTGAAAGAACAGAAGAAGGAATGTGTGTGGGATGAAAAATATTCATTCGTGCCAGAAGGAGTTTCCAGACAATGCATGAGACTTTGGATCTGGGAGTGCAAATCAAGAGTAGAGCTGTAAGGGTGGGAGATGAGTCAGGAACTCAGTCACCGTGGGGCTGCAAGAGCTTGGAGCATGGTGCTGGGAAGGCAGAAGTCATCCTTTGGGGCTCAGAGCTGCTTGGGAGAAGCCCACCTGATCCCAAGACTGGTCACCTTGTACAGAAGCAGAGCCGGTGAGGACAGTGCCTCATGCCGAACCCCTCTCTTCTTTCCATCGGAAATACGTGGTCTGACAAACTAAGTATAAGGTCAAAGGTCTCAAACTAGAGGGACTCAGGGAAGAACTGTTTGCACGACCCGCTTGTTACCGGGCTGAGAAGAAGGGCACGCTGGGCGAGACAGACAGGGCTGGGCACGGTGCTCATCCAGTGGTTCAGGAGGCCAACTCAAAGCTGCCCTGAGTAAATGCTGCAGAGAAAAGGAAGCGAAGGAAACAGCAAGAAGGGGAGTCATTTTTCTCTTCGTCCCTGTACTCTCTTTCCCCGTTTTTCTAATACTACCTTTCTGAGATTTTGTTTTTACCCTTTTAGGAGAAAGTACCTCCTAGTTGTGACATTGGAACACTCAGCTCTTTGGTCCATGGGGAAGCGTCCTCTCAGTATGTCGAACTCCAAGCAGGTTCCAGCTTTAGTTCTCATGCTGAGGACAGAAAGTAAGAAGCCCCCTACTCCATGTTTCCCTGTGAGGGCACAGCCACCAGGTCCTGAGTTCTCCGCAGGTGATGATTGGGTGTCAGTTCTTCATGCAGACTCAGCCACTTACCTGCCCTGGACATCAAGAAAGTAAGTGTAGAGACAACATCCAAAGTACAAAGGCAGAGCAGGATGACAGATGTCGAAACGGTGCTGGAATCCCACCTGCAGGACTAACCAGGCAGGTAGAGCTCGTAGTGTTAGTTTGGTGCCAAGAGGGTTCTGGGTGCCTGTTTCTTCTCGCAGTTCTCTTCCCTTGGCTCCTGGTTCACGGTGTCAGGCTGCTGGGCTGGCCATTCCCCACGGAGCAGGGTCAGGAGGACTCTTCCAATGCGTTGACCACCTGTTCCAGGATGTCAGGGCAGTGGTCTGCTATCTGCTGGAGGATGGCGTTGGCAAACTCCTGCAGCTCTGCATTGTCGCGCTCACCCTTTTCTAGCTCATTCTGAAGCTGAAAGCGGAAGGGGAGATGGAATTCAGGTAAAATGACACAATCCTATTTGCACTGACTTAAGAGTTACTGTTCATCAATAACAAAATGGCATTTGCGACAACATGGATGAAACTGAAGGCATTATACTAAGTGAAATAAGCCAGGTGGAGAATGACAAATATTGCATGGTGTCACTTACACGTGGGATCTAGAAAAAAAAATGGTCAAACTCACAAAATAGAGAGTACCAAGGTAGGTGCCAGGGGCTGGGGAATGGGGAGAGGCTGGTAAAAGGGTACAGATTTTCAGCTATAAGAAGAATAAGGCCTGAGGATCTAATGTACAACATGGTGACTATAGTTGAAAATACTATACTGTATATTGAAATTTGCTAAGAAAGTATAATGTAAGTGTTCTTATAAAGAGAAAAGGAGCTATGTGAGATGATGAATATGTTAACTCGATTGTGGGAATCCTTTCAAGATGGATATCAAATTATCATGTTGTACACTTTAATATATCACAATTTGATTTGTCAATTATGCCTCAATAAAGCTAAAAGAAGAAATGCAAAGAGATACTTTCTATGTGAAGTCTTCCTGCATCTAAGTCAACAACCAGGAAAGTGTAAAAGTGAATTATCAAATGTCTTTTCACGAAAATGAGAACTAAAGAAGTTAGTGACTAGTCCGAGGCCCAAAGATGGTCATCTGCAGAGCTGGGACTCCAATACCAGTGCTCTCACCCAGGTGGGATGTTCTTCCTACTGCTACATTCATGCCCTGGCCAGGGGGCACATGGATGATCTCAGACAGGATCTTAATCCTGTATAATGGTCCTTGCCCTACAGCAACTTGGAATTTGAAAGACTTCCCCTCTTTTCTATGCACCACTTTTATTCAGTATATCAGAGGACACTACCTTCACCCTCGGCCTGTTAATTTAACTAATGAGGTTATTTTGAGAAACATAAGGTAGTCAGTCCTCTGTTTAGGAGTAAGTACGTTTCTAACTTCCTATTGTTTTAAACACCCTCTTGGACACTCCTTCAAGCATTAGGCTTTTATTTTATTAACATTTATTGAAGGTCTGGATTTGATTCTTGTCCTGAAGACCCATTTAGGTTAATACAAGCGGCAAATACGTAAGCAGGTAGCCACAGCCCAGCGTGGTAAGTCGGAACCAGGCATGACATGTGCTGCAGGGGAAGTCGTGAGAATGGCTGCTCCATCCTGGAGGAGTCTGAGAAGATGGCACGAGAGGCAACGTGAGATTTGGACCTTGAGAGCTGATAGGAGTTTGTCTGGGAGGTCAAAGACAGAAGAGGCTTTCAAGCAGACGAAGCAAACACAGATGCAGGGCCATGCAAGTGCTGGGCACAGATCTGGGGAAGAGGGAGGCATTCTGTATGGCTGGAGCTTAAGGTGAGGGAACTGGGTGGAGAATGATAGGAAACAAAGCTGAGGCAACAGCCTGGGGCCAGACTGTGTCTGTAAAGTAAGGAGTTCAGATTTAATCTGGTTTAAACAACAACAGAAAGAAGTCCAAGAGTTTTTAAATAGTACAGAGACATGATCAGCTTCATTTTCTTAGAAGACAGTGATGAAGATAAAAATATGATAGACTGAGTGGGAAAAAGAATAGTCAAGGGAGGCAACTGTTACAAGCCCAGGTGAGAGTTAAGGGGGGCTAAAACTAAGGGAGGGTGCGGGGACGCTGCATGTGAGACTTTCCGCTGGGAGGACTGGGAGGAGGTGGAGCTAAGTGACAGACAATAGAGAATAACTTTGACAGTTCTAGCTGGGGATATTAGACAAATAAGATTGAAAATACAGGAGGCAGAGCACGTTTTAGGAAAGGAGGGAAATTAAAAATTGAGTTTAAAGTGTAGTTAAGAACATAGGTTCTGGAGTTAGGCTATCTCAGTTCCAATGTCAGCTCTGCCAATTATTGGTTTGTATGACCTGGACCTCTCTAAGCCTCAGTTTCCTCATCTGTAAAATGAGGCAATAACATTTATAGGGTTGTTTTAAAGATTTAATGAGATATTCCTATAAAGTATAATGCCTTACACATACAAAATGCTTGATAAATGTCAGGTGTTGTTATAATTATTATTACTGTTGTTCTTATTAAATAAGTAAGATTACCCAGAAAGAGCATATAGATTAAAAAGCAAAGAGAACCAACTTTTAATTATAGTCTTGATAGAATCTAGATGCTTTGAGCCAAGAATTAGAAGGCTGCTTCCTCAAATATATCAAAAAGTTGGGAAGAGATTTAGCAATCACCTTTCTGCTGAGTGTTTACTAAAAGATCAAGACATGCAGGGGCTAGATTCAGACCACACTAAGCCCTGTGCATATCAAGGCTTGGCTGTGTCATATACACAGGAATCTCTGAAATAGGAAAACCAAGGGGGCGAGGTGCCTTCTACATACAGCTGCACAGACTATAATCCAGAAATACTGCCAGGTGAAAAGGCTACAGCTAGCTCTCACGTCTCTTCAGTGGAACTGAAGTCAACCACGCAAAGTAAGTGAGGAGGACGTCAGGTTGTACTGCTTCAGTTTCCTATCTCAATAATTCCCAGGAATATTCTGAACAACTTTGGAATATATTCTGAGCCGGGTATCTGTACTTCATTTATTCTCTACAAGTCACATATTTATTTTCCATGAAATATTTTTCATTCTTTTTGGTTTCTGTTAAGTAGATAAACATGAAGTGACTAATGGATACATTTTAGTTTAATAACATTTTCAGACATTTTTTTTGGATTTAAAAAGTATTATTACAGTCATTGTAGAAAAATTTGGAAAAGAAAAGCACCAAGAAAAAAAAATCACCTATAACATTAGCATCAGGAGATAACTGTTGCTATATGTTTTGTCATAATATTCTGAGACTTTTATATATACATGTAATTCTAGAAACAAAATGGTAATATTATATAGGTTATTTCTACACTGACTTTATTTTCATCTAAAGTACACTACAAATACATTTCTAAACCAAATCTCAAAGGCTGTTTTTGGAACTTGAAAATTGATTCTAAAATTTATCCTGAATTGTAAATATATAAGAAAAGCCAAGAAAAATATTTTAAAGAAATAAAAATGATGTGGGACTTGCTCTACCACATTATAACACATACTATGAAAATACACTAATTAGAAGAGTATTATACTGATAAAATTAGATGAGTGGGATTTAGAATATGATCAGGAGGCATTTGACATCAATTAATATTTTGGGTTGATTGGGCCTACTTGTATTTAGATTCCTGTTCGTACTGTACATAAACATAAACTTCAAATTGGCCAAAGATCTAAATTCAAAAGTTATACTGTGAACATACATTCTTCGCAAGTGCACATGGATTAGTCTCCAGGTCATATGTCAGGCCACAAAACAAGTCTAAATAAATTTAAGAGGACTGAAATCTCATCAAGCATCCGTTCTGATCACGATGGTATGAAACTAGAAATCAATTATAAGAAGTAAACTGGAATATTTACAAATATGTGGCGAGTAAACAACATGCAACTGAAAAACCAACTGGCCAAATAAGAAATAAAAAAAAATAACAAAATACCTAAGACAAATAAAAATTGAAATACAACATACCAAAACTTATGGGATGCAGCAAAAGCAGTTCTAAGATGGAAAGTCATAGAGATAAATACCTACATTAAGAAAAAAGAAAGATCACTAATAAACAACCTAACTACACACCTCAAAGAACTAGAAAATGAATAACAAACAAAGCCCAAAGTTAGTAGAAGGACGTAAATAACAAATATCAGAGTGGAAATAAATGACATACAGGCTAAAAAGATAATGGAAAAGATGGATAAAACTAAGAGCTAGGGGCTGGCCAAGTGGCGTATTGGTTAAGAGCTGTCTTGGGACCCAGTTCGGATCCCACATGAGGGCCAGTGACACTGCTCTCTACAGCTAAGATGGCGAACAACAGCTCAACCTGGAGCTGGGCTGCCGTGAGTTGCTGGCGATGGCGTAGGCTGCAGCCCCTGATGCAGTGGGCTTCCATAAGCTACCGTGTGTGGCTGGCAGCCGGTGTGAGCTGCCAAGAGCCGCTGTGAGTGGCCATCCAGAGGCTGGGGACCGATTTGCCTAACCCGGGAAGAGCGCAATGATAATACCAACATGGGCCAGTGAAGCAA